ATTTTTAATATATTATATCAAAAAATCGAAACTTATACTGCTATACTATAAATCTCATATATAAAACTAGTATATATTGACCCCACGATTATTTTTAATATGTTTAAGAAATCCGATGTTGGGAACACTCAAAAATATTTTGGTTTGAAACTTCTGTCCGTGCAAGCTGCAACTTGCAACCTTATTTCCAAAAATTTCTCAAATCCAACCAAAACTAGTCAAGCCCCCAAATACCGTAAAAGTTGTCTTCATTATCTATTGTGGACTTTTGACCACAGTGGTCAATGTATGGGAAATAAATTTTAAATTCAGAGAGATCTCTTTCTTGGGAATAGTAGTTCTGTGTATCAAAAATGGATAGAATCGAGTCAATATTTCTCTAACCCCAATATACGTAATATAAAGTTGACTTTACTCCATATGATTGGTGATTGTACGAGTATGTCAGATACCTTAATGAAATCCACGGAACATTCTTTTAGCATGCGGCATAATAATAGTTAGATGAAATAGTTGGATAGATAAAATCGAATCGACACTACTCCAACTTCCACATACGAAATGTATAATAATTTTCGTTTTTCTAACAAACCTTATGCTGAATATATCAGCGAGTATATTAGTTATATATAAAATATGTATATAGTATATACATAAAATATCCATATGCCATATTTAATGAATATGTGCATTTTTTTGTTGACTGTCTGCACACAAAACTTAATAATGTATTATTTAAAAATTGTACACGACTTGCAGCCAAGCTATTAATTGTTGTAGCAATTTAATCGGCTTGTACTTTTTTTTTTAAATACGTAAGCATACATAGTTAGGGGTTTCACAAGTCCTATAAGGTTATAAGCTATAACGATTCGAAAACATAGCATTGAGAATTGTAAATGTGCAAACAAATTTTGTATGAAGTCCAACAACATTTTTTTTTTTAAATAAGTGTAAAAATTTACGATGCTTTACGACGGGTTGTGAGTACCCCAAATATACAATTTTATATCTCAGACTTTCTTATAACTTTTGAAAGTCATTATTAAAAACTGCTTTTTTCAACACTCTTTTTTCTCATATAAAAAATGAAAAATCTTATTAGAATTTTTTATTCTTACAAACCAGCACTATTCACAAAACAGCTCTGAAATTAAAAAAAAAAAAATATTTTGAGAATTATATATCAGAGACCTGTGTAAAATCTCATGAAGATCGGTTGAGCAGTTTTCGAAAAATCTTGCTAACACAGTTTCAAGAAAAAGGTGTGTAAAGACGGCGCAGATAGCTTAGCTAACCTCGACCGCACAAGTCTTTAAGACTGTATCTCCGAAACAAAGACAATAAAAACAACAGTTTTTTAAATTCGTAATCCCATGAAAGCCTATCAGGGATCTTTGGAAATATTATTTTTAAAAACCTATGAATGATTATATTCTAATGCATAATTTCATAAATAGATTAAACCTGCCTTAATCTTTTTGATATTTACATCGATTGAAGATATCGAAAGTCTCAATTAACATTATATGACAGATATTACGATGTCTTGAAGCTATCGTATGAGAGGGAGTTCCGCAATATTTTAAATTCATTATGCGGTCCTATAACTCTGAGTGGTCGTATCCAACAATGCTATGATAGGATTGTTTTACATTGTCCTGCTTAACGATCAAAGATATTTGCAGTCATAAAAATCAATCAGCTCCCCTCTTTTCGACAAATATCTCTCGTTAGTCTTTTTCAAGGTGTTCTATAATAACTCACATCGCCGCAACAGATACTTTTATAAACCGAACAAATATCCCCTATATTTCGTTCGACTACATAATTTCAAAAAGAAAAGCTATAAATTTAGATGAATCCAATTCGCTATATTTATAAAGGAAGATCCAAGTAGAGGTACTTGTGGAACGACTTATCGAATTTTACGTCCAGATCTTAAATTGAAAACTTACAAAACACAGCTTGTACAACAACTGGAATCAGTCGACCTCCCCAAGCGACATCGATATGATCTATGGACTCATGAAAAATTCTAAGAAGATCGGACTTTTCAAGCCAATTTTTGTTCAGCACCATTTCTGGTTCAATGGGTATGTATACAAGCAAAATTGGTGTATTGGGGACCTAAAGAAATCCAAGAGCTGTCATTTCGTCCCGAAAAATAACGGTCCATATTTCTTCAAAAATGATGCATGTGAGGACGTAACTGTCAATGGCACCACTATCACGCCATGAGAACCGACCAGTTGATGCCTGAAATTGGTAGTTCGTAATCTCAGCGACATTTCGTTTCATCAAGACGGCACCACTTCCTACACATCGCATCTATCAATAGATTTAGTGCGAAAACACTTCGATGAGCAAAAAGTTTCACGTTTTCGGCCGGTCGACTGTCCAATAAAATTCTGTAATATCACACCGTTAGAGTTTTTCCTGTGGGGATATGTAAAGTCTAAAGTCTATGGTGGCATTAAATGCTAAAAAAAACATTCTCTCATTAAATTTGAAGATTTGTGTTTTTTCTTTACAAATATATGGTATGAATCGCCCTTAATTCACATAATATACAATTCTCCTAATTTTGAAAAATTTTATTTTGGTTCAATTTTTGTCGAACAAAAAGGTAAATTCAAAATTGATTGTCAAAGTGAAAATGGAATTCATAAAAAAAATTTAAATTCAAATAATTTTATTTTTATTTACAATCGGGAAGTCCAAACAAAAATGAAAATATTATGTGTAGTTAATTAGAATTGTGTAAAAGTGCTTAAATTCAAAATTACTGATTTCATCTTACAATAAAACCAGAAAAAGAATATCAATGCAATGTCAGAGCTCGGCCCAACTCCGAAGCGAATGAGATGTCCGAGCTGTGGCGCCACCATAGTGACCGATATAGTACCGACGCCAAACACGAAAACACATATCATCGCGCTTATTCTGTGCTTTTGTTGGTTAGTAAATATTTAAAACTGTAATGCGAGCTTTGCATTAATAAACCGCTACTTAGCATAGCACTAAATATTGTTTCTTACCAAAGTTTAGAGGAGCTTTCAGAAAGCTCAGTATTCGTTAAAAGTTTACCATCAGGCTAAGCATTCTAAATACGTGCTTAAGCTTTTTTGCAAAGCTCTTCAACTGACTTACAGTAGAATTACTCTGAATTAACTGCTTATAAAAAGTTTCTTGGCGCAAAGTCTGTAGCAACGGCTGAAAATGTTCTGAAGTTTAATCTATCGTTTGTAGTTTATTAACTAATGATAACTCTCTTTTTAACAGCGCTACAATTTGCTACAATTTCTTACATAACGGGAGTTTTTAGACATGTGATTTTCAACGAGAAAATACTTTTCTCGAAGTTGGTCTTTTCGACAGCTTTTATTTGATCTTGATGACCAATTCGGCTTGCCATTTAATAACAAACAGACTTATTTTGGAATACCGTAAGCAAATCGTGCAATTTTATTACCAAAATAATTGTTCGCACGAAATATTTGGAACTGTGTCCATTCACTTCATGGAAGATTTTCGTTTGCTGGCTTACAAAATTCAACTCATGAAATAGTGGAAGCCGCACGACAATCAAGCGTTTCCACCCTTGGGTACATAGGTCCCAAAAGATTGCCACCGATCCCCCTTTTTACATGAAAAACTTGTGCAGCCATGAAACATACTTTAAGTTGAATGCCGTTATATTCTCAAAATGTCAATTTTTGTATGCTCTATGGGCAGAGGAAATCATTGGTTCATATTTCTGCAAAACCACAGCAAACCGTTGTTTTTTCTGGATGAAATGGCAGCTCTTGAACCTCTTCAGGTTGCTCTTCGTCCCAAATTCGGCAATTTAACTTGTTAACATACCCCCTGACCCTGAACAAAATTTGCCTCGAAAACATTGGATATTCTTGAAACTTTTCAAGAGCGAAGCGATGTCGATTTGGAAGGTCGAGCGGCTTCAGTTCTTGCACAAGCTGTATTTTGCACACTTTAAGATTTCGACGTAAAATACGCCAAGTCGTTCCATTCCGAATTGCTGCGAATAGTGCCAAATCGACACTCCAAGGTCTTCGTGTCGAATTTCAGCTACGACTGCTATATTCTCTTCACAGCTGGAGAAACTATTTGATTGAATATTATCCAATAATGAATGCTGAGCCTCAAAAGGGATTATGGTGTAGACCGATTATGTTGCCCATAAGACGAGCGAAAT